CCGGGACAACGCTTAGCGGTGAAGAAGAAACGAGAGTATTCCTATCAAGCGTGAATGAGGCCCTGAAAATCATGCAGAGCGCTTGGAGTGATATTACCAACTTAAGCAGTGGTGGGGCATTTCCTTATTTCAATAATTGCAGCTTTTCATTTTATTAGAAACTTTTGTACAAGTATACAATTGTCCAAGATGGGTGTAATTTGAATATTTTTTTATTTGAAAGGAACTTTCAAATTGATATTTTTTTCTTTTTCATACCTATAATAATTAAAAAAAAAACTGTTTTGTACATTTTCAAAAATGTTACTAGAATAACGTATGATGCAATGTTTGTTTTTCACTGGAACGTGAAAGAAGTACAATAAATTATTTACACAGCACAGTTTTGCTGTATAATGAGCTCCACCCCCTGCTGGTGTATCTCCAGTTATTGTACGGGGAATTTCAAAGGAAAAGTGCCGCAACCATGATACAATTTCTGTTACCGTGTTTCCATGTGGTCTTTTAGTTCAGAATTGGCAAAGATGAAGGCATCATGTACCGAACCCGGCCACTTACATACAATGTTCGTGAACCTAAAAATTATAAGAAATTGGTATCGTAATCATGTACCAACGATTTATGTATATAATACAAATATTCGACTTAATGAAATAAATCGTAAAATGTATACAATGAAGCGCTTTGAATGGGTAAAATTTTCTGCTTGGATGGAACGGGTTGATCTTCCGACACACCCATTTCTTTAGAAAAGAAAAATCGGTCAAATGATTTAATCGAATACCTGTAAAATAGGTATTTTATAAATATAATAGCCAATGAAATTGACGGTCTGCAAAAACACCGAGTAAGCACGTGTTCGACTGATACATGTCCTATGCTAACTCCAATAAACATGATAAAATCATAAAAATGTACAAAATCGTTGCAATGCGTGTTTTACATAAGCAGAAACTCTATACATCGTTCTTTCTTATTCAAATATCTTCATTTCAGTGTAAATCATGTTGCTTATTGCGAAAAGTGTAGTCTCCTAAAACCTTCGAAGAATATTCCTTTCTTATTTATAAAGAAAGGGCGTGTCGTTATGTTATAATTGACGTTCAAAACATGACTCAGAACGTTTCGTCCAAATGGAAAATTTTACCAATTCAATTCGCTTCATTGTATGATCTGTTTCACTCGAATGACTCGATTTATGCAAGAGAAGTGCTATTTAGATGGATCTTATACATTTAAGTACAATTGTAGTATTCTTCTTGTGCGAACCTTAGAGAGGCATCCGCCACCACCTGAACATTCATAGCATGAAAACCCTTTCTGCAAACATATTCTGGCTCATTTTCTTTGGGGGCCATTATAGGTATGAGGGTGCCATCGATGGCCCCAATAACATTGGGAAACCCCGCTATTTGGTAGAAATGGTGCTTGGTAACTAAAGCATCATTCTCTGAAATGTAAGTTTGAAATTCTATGAATAGAAATGTATTGAAAGTATGTATAAGAAATTTCTTTTTCATGCATGAAAATCGGACCTATATAATTAAAAAAAAACATCTTATATCAGTTTCTTATCATTGTTTCATTTAATGTATTAAAATTTGCGGGATACTTTTAATTTTATATACTGCCAGTAGCACAAGTACATCAAAGAGGGAGGGGGGGGGGGTCTTTGAGAAAATTGCCTTGAACATTATTAAAGTACGGGAATTTCCTTAAGAGGCTGTCTACACTTATTATTTTAGATTGATGAATTAAAAATAAGTTTAAAGGCTTTGACGCTCAATTTCAATACGTTTTTCTATTTCATTACATATTTTTATCGATTTGAATGTCGAAGTAAATGTGGTATCTCATGAAGTACTTTTTCCTACCCCCCCCCCCCCCCCTGAAAAATTTATAGAAACTATGGCCTTCTCATCATTACATATGTTGAATAAAAAAAAATCCAGAGAGGTCAATGTGTCGGGCTTTATTATGTACATTATATAGCCTAATTGTTTTCATGCCCCTTGGGCGGAACGTTAAATACATGTACTTGTTTGTACAATGAATCTATTTCATACATTGTAAAAATTAAGGATTTTAAGAATTATATAGAAGTTTTTTTTACAAACCTGATGGGAAATGAATGTTATCTAGCTCATTACAAATTGATCTGGTGACACGATCAATAGCCCTAGACACGCTTGATCGTGAGATGCCATGCAGGTCACCACACTCAGAAAAAAAGGAGGCCTTGGCAAGGTATCTTATGGTCACCAGCACCTAAAAGTTTCGTAACAGTGTTTTCAAACTTTTCACACGAAAATCTTCCATGGATAACATTTATAATATGTCGGGAACTGAGAGAGAGAGAGAGAGAGAGAGAGAGAGAGAGAGAGAGAGAGAGAGAGAGAGAGAAAGAGTTATCTGAGATGCTCATTTATCTGTTTTTATTGTCCATCGAGTGGTCATGTAACTAGAAACGTATACAGAACATGTATAATTATTTAACTCACGGCTCGTAGGAAGCAATTTCAGTTGTGTGTGTGTGTGGGGGGGTTATATCAACTAATAAAATATCGGCAAAATTATGGGACACATTCGGTTACTGCGACTATGCAACCAAAACATAGTAGTATAACTTCTAAATGTATTTCTTTATTTCTTTTTTAAGTTGTGGCAAAGTCATATTTATTTAGAATATTTTTTTTATCTTTTTGAATAACTTACTGAGCTATAAGTTACTTTATGTCATATCTGGTAGTAGTCTCCATCCATGAATTCTACTCACAAAATCTCATTGGCCTGTAAATGTGTACCCCCTTGTTTAACCGTTTTTTTTTTTTGCTATATATACTGAGGCATGGGTCCATCCCTGTTAGTGTGGGAAATTTAACTTACCTATTACCAGCTGCCCGTTGTCACCACTTGAAAGGTAATTTTCTTAGTCTATTTAATTTTTGTATTTCAATTATTAAGTCAAAGTTACAATTTCAAGTATTTTTCATATTTTTGAGAGAAAGGTTTTTTTAAACTAGGAAATTGACCTTTTGGGCTTAGTAAACATAAATTTTCTTATTTTTGAAGTGAATAGGAGATAAAAGTATTTTGTCTCAGTGTCCATGTGTATTATGATATTGTATATATGTTTTTGTAATAGTAGATCTGCCATTGTTTTTTTATTTCCAAAATAAATTCATTTAAACTGAACCTGCATTTTCCATCTCCGCTTGGTTACAAAGTGATCAACCTCTACATAGGATTTAACATTTTTATGAATTGAAAATAAAAAGAATATACACAATGCTACAGAAAAAGTTGATCATGTTTTATACTTTATAATCTATAACAGACACATTATCTGACGCTACTTATTTTTCTTTTAATGAAAAAAATACATCATCTATTATAGGTACGGGTATGTTATTTTTATTAAAAGAAAAATAGGTAACGCTGTGTGCCTGTGATCATAAAATAGCCTCTCTCTCTTTATCTCTCTCTCGCAAAGAGAGATAACTCTAAGTTGTGTGCTGGGACTGCAAAGGGTAAATAACTCAAGGGTATAAACAAACATATGACCTGTGTGTATGCAGGCAGAGAGTGGCTTCTGTTTGTTGGCCTCTCAACGTCCCCTCTTACCAACTCTACCAAACGATAGAGGAAATGACGAGGAAGACGATATCTTTCAATAACTTCCTCATCATTCAGAAAATCAAGCGGATTTGTCCTGTCCCGAAAAACACGAGGTCTAGGCAGTTTTCTCCCATTTGAAGGTAAGTGTTCGTCTGCTATTAATAATAGTGACGCCATATTGTTTGTAGTTACGAGTACGCGAGGTTATCTACGAGAGCATAGGACCACTCGTAGAGTTACGATTAAGTTTAGTCGTAACTCGCAAGTCGTAACTCTTAGTGAAACGCACTTACGTGCTACGTTCACGTTTACGTCTACGTTTACGAGCTACGACCTGTTAGTGAAACGGTCGCCAGATCTAACGGAGAAATTTCCACTGGACAGGGAAATGTCTTAGTGTGTGGGGACGAATGTAAACCTATAGGGTTTAGCAGAGACATATTGTGTGAACATTTTAAACTTAGACAATATTAATAACATAATCATTTTTAGTTTTTAGCAGTTAAAATAAAATGAGATAAAGGTTTATTAAATCAGAATGGATATATTATTAGTGACGCATATTTGGTGACTTTATAATTGGAAAGAGAACTTTATTTTGTAAACAATTATTATCTTGTCAAAACAAATTGGATTTTGGTGTTGTTCAAATACACTATAATTTGTAAGATCATTTTGTAATGAAATTGATCTGAATAGACCAATCAAGCCCATCGATAGTAAGTAATAAATGTGAACAGAAATTCAATGGTATAATTAAGAGTTTTGACTAAGAGCAATAAAATTGGGAACTTTGAAGTAAATAAGTAAAAGAGCTTAAGGCTATAACTCCTGTGGTGCAGAGATGGGGACTGAGCCCATAAATATTAGTAACATGTATTTACCTACATTTTAGGGTGGTGCCATGTTGGGGTTCATAGGTCAACGGACAGACCTACGGACAAAGCGTAGGTGGTTGGTGATGGTAAATTATCCAATGAAATGCATTTTTATATCCGGGACCATGGATACCCACTGAGCACAAAATACCCTGTTTTAGTCAGAAAAGAATATTCCCGGTTTTATTCTCAAATCATTACATCTCTTTGGTATTTATTATTTTGGGAATCATTCTTTTGGACTTTTGTTTATCTATTTATTTGGAGTTCGGTCTTAAACTCTTTATATTTTGGACGGACCCTTTGGACGGTTATATAATCAAAGTACTGAGAGTACTGATAGGCGGAAGCATGTTTGCAGGTTCTAGTGTGCAAAACTTTAATGACACATATTTGAAGCATAATCTTTTTCAAAGGAGGGGGTGATAAATATTTTGATGGATTGCAGTATTAAAACAGTATTTAAACAGTATTAAAACCAAGGAACAAAAATAAACATGTCTCGGTTTGATGAGGATACATGAGAATAAGTCATATCAATAGCAATATGAACATTTTAACATTTATTATACCCCCGCTTGAAAAGAGGGAGGGTATACTGTAATTGGTATGTCCGTCCGTACGTACGTCTAGCTGTCTGCATTTCCTCTTATTTTAATAAAACCTTCACAGAATCTTTACATATTGCCATTTTGCATCTCCTCTTTTACTTTTTGATCTGACACATATTTTAGGTTTCCCGACCACAGCAAAACATGGACCTTTCCATCATAATCATATGGGAGGCGGGGGTATCATTTAGTCAGTTCATTGCTCACAGTACCTCTTGTTTTTGTCAAGTATATCAAGTTAAAATTGAAATCCAAGTTGCAATACATAAAATATGTAAGATATGGTTTTGGGGAACAAGAAATGGTAAATTCTAAAATTTCACACAAAAATGAGAACTAATGAGTAATAAAAAACAATATATATCACAACTGCTTTTGGGTTTTGTATTTGTACATGTATTAAGTTTTAGCACCAATGAAACAAAGTCTTGTTACAAAACAGCAAATTATAAAAGGAATACAACATACACAGAAGACCTTACATAGATTTACAATGTGCTTGTGGTTCTATGAATTGTTTTCATTCAAAACATGTATGGCCCAGGTAGAACAAATCACAAGTCTCTAATGCTGATGACAGGGGAACACTGTGTCATGATGTCCACAATAAATGGAATATTTTTTCAGGAGAGCTTCAACCATGGCAGGCCCTTGAATGCCAGACAGTTTTATTTTTATTCCTGTGGTAAATTTGTCTTTGATGATTGTATTAAAATATTGGTACATACATCTCGATATCAGTGTTGATTTCTTTTCCGGAGATTATCTACACTATACCCTTCACAACTGTCTCTTGGCAGAATTTTCTACAAAATGTATCATAAAAAAAAATTAAGAATATCTCACAATGTTTATTTAACAAAAATTATTTCATATTATGTATCTGACTTTCAATAAATGAAATCAAGGATTTCAAATAACCTTTTATGATATACGGGTTATTTTAATATATTTTCTTGGGAAGTCAACTTTACCGAGCACTGGATCCAAGGTCCAAGGATTGAATACTAAAAAAATTACTCGTTTACTCCAATGTATATTATTTCTTTTTATAAGGTACACATTTTTATCAGAAACTTATTAATTAAAACTAAAACATGCAAATGGTAATTAGCAGGTCTTCATCTACATCTAGCTGTAAAACACCCGTTATCGCCTTGATCTACATTCATTCATTCAGTGAAATCTGACATGCAAAGAAATTAATGCCACTATACCCACTTCAAGAGTGAAGTGGTTATATAGAAATAACAAAAGATTCAAAACTGCGGAAAGTGAACTTGTGTAGTAAGATTGGTGTAAATATACTGGAAACAACCAAAAAATGAAGTAATATAAGACTAGCGATCCTGACCAACAACATCTGTCCCCTCTCTTTCGCTCGTTATATAACATACATGTGTACACAGCAGTTTTTCAAATAGATCCAATTAAAACAACCTTTTGTAATTTTGGGTGTATTGTGCATTTGTGTTTTATTTGACAACTAATTTTAGTACCAAAAATTATTTCCAATGGAATTCATAATTATCTGTACATGTAATGAAAAAATCAGATATCGAGTAAGCGATTTTAAACATGATAAATATTGTCTGATTTGACTTCTCTAATATTTTTTTTATTTGTTTTCTCTTTCAAAGCCTACTATTATAAGTAATCATGTATTTGCATGTATTTAAAAAAAAATAAAAAAAAAATAAGTCAACAAAATTAGAAAAGTCAAAATATACTTTCAAAAATAGTATTCGGTTCATGATCAGTTTTGCCATCATAACAAGATGATTCGTTATGCTATAAAAATATGTATCATAAGTTATGAAATTTTTTTCCACTTATCTAGAAATACAATAAATTGATGTACTCACCTTCAGAAAAGTGTTTCTGGTTGTGCTGAGTTGGGTTTTCTTCTGCCATTTAGAGGTGGCACAGGGCAAATCCACAATGCCATCGTAATTATCTCCCCTTTCTGTTAGCTGCCTCCGTAGCAGGGACACATCTTTACAAAACACAATGTAGTTCTTATGCTTGCGTTTTAATTTAATTTCTGTCCAGATTTTACAGTTTTGGCCCATCCTTCAACATACATGTATTAACATAAATTGAGAAAGGATATATAAATGTATACACACACTCGGCATGATAATTCCTCAAATTTCTCCCAAGCATGTAATCATGGTAATTAGAGTACCAGTTCGTTCGATAAGACACGATCATGCATAACAGGTATCATATTACGATATCTAACATGTCTAAAGCATGCCTGCATAGGGAGGCGACATTTTCAGGATAAAACAATTAAAGATAAGGGTGACAATAAAAGATAAATAAGTCACCTTATTTATTTTGAAGAGAAGGCCTGTCACTTCCAGTCAATCATTGTATCATTCTAAATCATTTGTGCTCCACGTGTGTTTGTGGACAAAAATTTCACGCTGAATGGTCTATATGTTAGAATATAACGCGAATGTAGTAAACAATTGATAAAAGGAGTAACATACCTCTTTTTTTCTATTTCATACAAGATTATTGAAAAGATAAGCTCCTCAGTAGCTATGTACCTGTCATTAGTTCTTAAACATAATTACCTACTTGAACTATTTTGTCCCTTGTAGTATTTCTAAAGATCGGTTCAGTACCCCGTGCTAATCAAATGTTGAACCCGATTTGTTTATGTTTTAGACATACAGAGTTGCCGTTCGTTCTTCTCTCAAACGTGAAACGTATCAGCAGTAACAAAGTTACTATTCGTTCTATAATTAGGCCATTATTTTTATTGGACTTTTTTACATTAATCAAAATAAATTGTTATAATAAATTCGCAATAACACACGCTTTTTGATTTGATAATAACGATAAAGATTGAGAAGGTGTCAAATATGATTAAGCGGGTTGTATGCCCTTAGTTTAAGATACATCCGTTTGGAGTACCATGAAGCGGGGCAAACATCTTGAAAGGTCGAAAGGTCAACAAAGCATGCAAAAGTAAAAGGCGGCTTCCGCCTAAAAAGTGTATTGGTCTTTTCTGATCATATTTCAGGAACGAATATTTCTAAAACTATACGATCACGGAAAATTGTAAATTGCATTTTTTTAATAAACTTTGGAAATCGACACAAGAGTTGTCATTGGCTTACAAGGGATAGAACCTCCCGATGATTTGATGAACAAGGGAGAAGCATTTACTTGCCATCTATATGCCCCTAAAGCATCATCCAGAAAGGTAAATGACCTATAAGATCCCACCTATTTTGTGCTATAAACGGGGGAGATACCGGCTTCCTCCTTCCTTAGACTGTTTGAAGAAGCGCTGCCTGAGATCCAATTACCAGAACGCAATATGAGAAAGGCGTCTGGCAGAATCCTGAATTACATAATTCAGTTGGAATAGGTTAAAAAAAAGAAAGGAAAAGGATGTGCAGCATTTAATAGTGCATGAACTTACAGACCGCTCCTGAGGCAGAATTTGATTTGCTAGCCTGTAACTGCATAAAACATGTACAGTGCCGAAATGTGCATGATAAATGGACTTAACTACATTAATATCGCAGTACAGTTAAGGCAACATTTTCTATAAAAAGTCACCAAAAACGATACAATTAATATTTAACTATTTTATTTTTCAGCAAGACACTCTAGTTAAAAAAGCTTTATGTTATCTTGAAGAGTATGCCCATCGCTATTCAATTAGGAATTTTTGTGATCATGTGACCCTCTAAAGTCACGTGGGCTCCG